GAGGAAATGGATAAATTAATGGATTATTTGGAAAAGGAAATGAAAGGAGAACATGGTTATAAGTTTGTTGATAATAAAGATAAATGGTCGAAAGAAAGAAACAATGAAAAGGTAATAATAAAATGACCGGATAATTTTTGGTCCGAGGTTCGACGAATTACTAAGGAAATAAGGACCAAATATTCGAAAGAAATAAAATTTGGTAGTTTTACACTACCAGCAGGACAGGTTAACACTGGATTTACTTTGCGGGATTTAGAAAAGTTTGTGGGGGATTGTCTGGCTGCCAAAAGTGGAAAAGATATCCAAGAAATTATTCCGAGTAGTCAGGATTACGAAGCAGAATTAGAAAAAGAGATGAAAAAACGAATTAAGGAAACAAAACTTGTGTACTTTAGTCGCTCGCCCAAACCAACTCCTCCCACTAAAGAAAAAGAGGAAGAAATTTAATAAACCTTAACCATGGAAAAAGAAGACAAATATAGTAAATTATTAACTGAGGGAGGGTTATTTTTTTATGGGCCGACCAAAGGAAGTTTCATTTTGCCTCCTCGCGGCCATGCTTTGTGAAAAAACATTCAGAATGTTTTGGATAAAAAATTTGCCGTTCATAGGGTTCAAAATGTTCTTCTGCCTACTCTTATCCCGCTGGATTTACTCGAAAAAGAAAAAAAACACATTGCTGGGTTTAGTCCAGAATGTTACTATGTAGAAAGAATTGGTGAAAAAAAAACCGAAACCCCATTAGTTTTGCGTCCCACCAGCGAAGTAATGTTTTATGATTGATATCGACAAATCCTCCACAGTTATCGGCAATTACCTCTTTTATATAATCAATGGTGCTCGGTCTTTCGAGCCGAAAAAAATACTAGTCCCTTTTTTCGCAATACTGAGTTTCTTTGACAAGAGGGTCACACTATTCATGCCAGCGAGCAAGAAGCACAACAATTCGCTTTAAATATTCTGACTGATTATCAGGATTACGCTGAAAACACTCTTTGTCTCGGAGTAATTGTTGGTAAAAAGACCGAAGGAGAAAGGTTCGCCGGAGCCCTAGAAACTTACACCGTAGAATGTTTATTACCAGACGGCCAATGCTTACAGTTTGCTACTAGTCATTATTTTGGCGATAATTTTTGCCGCCTAATGAATGTTAAGTTTCAGAATAAAGACAACCAAACCCAATACCCTTTTTCAACTTCCTGGGGCACTTCAACTCGATCAATTGGAGCCATTACTAAAACTCATGCTGACAATTGAGGGTTAATTTTACCTTTTGATATCGCACCCGTCCAAATCGCTATTATTCTGATTGGAGAAAGTCAAGAATTAGTTAATTATTATCAAGAAATTTATGCTTCATTAAGTCCTCATTATCGTTGTCAATTATATAATAAAAACAAACAAGTTAACCTCAATATTTTACAAGTCGATAAAGAAGGCTGTCCTTTCAAAATTATATTAGGAAAAGAAGAACTAGAAAAAAATGAAATCACTCTGGTAAGAAGAGATAATGTAGAAAGAAAGATTACCGTTAATTTGGAGGAAAGTAAAGTTGAGAAAAAGTATATTTTTGCTTTTGAAAAATATGTGGAGGAATTGAGTAAAATTGAGGATAACCCAGGAGTTAAAAAAGAGTTAAAAAAAGAAAAAGTAGTTAATTCGTTTAAAAGAGGAGAGAGAGCAGGAAAAATTCTTCGGGTTATTGAAAAAGAAAAGGAGGAATTCAAAAAAAATCTTTACCAAAAAAGTGTCGATTTTCGTGATAATCATATTTTTTCAGTAGATAATTTTCCTGAATTAGAAAAGAAAATAAAAGAAGGAGTAAAAGGTTTATTTTTGGTTCCTTTTTGTAATAACTTAGATTGCGAGATAAAAATAAAAAAAAAGGTTCCTTCATACAGCATTAGGTGTGTTGCTTCAGAAAAAAAATTCGCTGAACCCCTACAATGTCTTTTTTGCCAATCAGCAGCCCAAAATAGAGTTTATTTAGGAAGGTCTTATTAAAATTTCTAGTGGGTATTTTGTAGCAAAATCGACCTTTCATCAATGATTGTAAAATTGTAAAAATCTATATTATAACCTGCCCATCCCCTTCCCCTAATGACCCCTAAACTTCTCAAAGAACTTGAAATAGCAAAAGGAGGTGATATTAATGACTTAAAGGGATTAGAAATTAACTTCTTGGTTCCTAATTGTTTAGAAATTATTACTCCTCGCTTGCTGACAGCAGAAACAATTGACAAGTTATTATACGCAATTTATAATAAATTGAATTACTTTTTTGATTATCTTGATTATCGGGTAGTAATTCGAGAGACTGTGGCAGTTGACAAAAATAGGATTAAAGAATACTTTTCTTTTATTTGCGCTACTCCTTTTCTATGGAAAGATAAAAGAGATTTAGTTTTCTTTTGCGAACAAAAAGAATTATTAGAAAGTTTTACTTGGCGTCGAAATATTGTTTATTTACCTTTTTCTGACCCAACAACTCTCAATCGCTGGAAACCAAAACTAATTAGTTTGAAAAAAATACTAGAGAAATTAGGCTTGCCGGACATTCGTTTTGCTCCGCAGCCAAAAGAAAAAAATATTGCTAAAAATGATTTAGGAAACAATGTAACAAATAAAAAGGATAAAAAAAGTAGTTTTAACTTGTCAAACAGTCCGTCAGTAAATAACAAAAAAAACCTAAATAAAACTTCTTTACTACAAGAATGAAAGGAAAGAAAATTGCTTGAGTTGGGAGTTCATACTAAATTTAGCACTTTGGATGGCATAAGTAGCCCAGCCGATTACGTAATGAGTGCTCAACAAAAAAATTATGCGGCTTTGGCTGTAACTGACCATTATAATGTTCAATCCTTTCCTGAATTTAGCAACCACCAAAGCAACGATTTGAAAATCATTTATGGCTGTGAAATGGAAATGCTAGAGGATGAACTTCCTCCTTATCTTTTTAATCACTCGCCGGAAATTTTGGAAAAAAAGGTAAATGAACTAACTTATTGTGTTTTCGATTTGGAGACCACGGGATTTTTTTCAGAATACAATGAAATTATTGAAATAGGTTATGTGATTTACCACCAGGGAGAAATTATTCGGGAAGGCGAATATTTAATCTGCCCAGAAAAGGAAATCCCAGCCGAAATTCTAGCCACTTGGTACACGAGCATTGACCCACAAGAATTAAAAAAGGCTCCAAAAATTAAGGAAATTTTGTCAACTTTACAAAGGGAATGAGAAAACTGCGTTTTAGTAGCCCATAATGCGGGCAAATTTGACTATGGCTTCCTCAATAAAGTCTGAAAAGAACATTTTGGGAAAGAATTGCCCCACCCTGTTCTTGATACTTTACCTTTGTCTTGGATATTGTTTCCGGAAAGAAAGTCTTATAGTTTAGAAAAATTGAGCCACGTTCCCGGAAGAGGAAAAGTTGTTCAAACCCACCGAGCCCTCGACGATAGCAAATTATTAGCCGAATTGTTAGAGAAATTATTGAAAATTTTAAAAGAAAATAAAATTAGCCAGTGGGGGGAAGTTAAAAAATTAATCAAAGACGGCTTTTTTCCTAATCGAGGCTATAAAGTAAAAGTTTTAGCGGCTAATCAGGAAGGATTGCACAATCTTTACCGTTTAATAACCCTTTCTCATACCGAACGATTATTCAAAAAGCCCTCTGTTTTCCGTTCGGATTTAATAAAATATCGACGAGGATTGTTAATTGGGGCAGCGGGCGGCAGAGAAGGAGAAGTCTTTTATCTCTTTAGTTCCTTCAACTTTGAAGAGAAAAAAAGAAAAAAACTTTGTTTTTACGATTATATAGAAGTAAATAGTCCCCAAACTTTTCGCCATTTATGATTAAACGGGCAAATTGGAGAGTCTGAATTAAAAGAAATGACTAAAAAAATCATTAGAACAGTTGAAGAATTAAAAATTCCGGCGGTTGCTTCCCACCAGGTCTACTATTGCCAAAGCAAAGAAAGACTCCTGAAAGAGATTATTGTAGCTAATGAAGGGATGAATGGCAGTCGTCATTATCTCTACAACCAAGCCACCCTGGATGACAAGGAAGACCGCTTTTCCCATCTTCCTCCACAACACTTACTCGCCTTAGAAGAAATGATTAACCACTGGCTTTTTCTCAATGATAAACAACTGATTGAAAACCTTATTTTTAAATATCCGCAAGTAATAGTAAATAAAGTGGGGAAAGTCAATATTAAACAACCACCTCTTAACTACTCAGCAACTGGAAGCAGCCGAAAAGAAGAAAATGATTTAATTTTGGCCTATACCCAGCGAGCCCAGGAAATTTTTGGCAATCACTGACCGGATTTTGTCAAAGAGAGAATAGAAAAAGAGTGGCAAATTATCAAAGGACGCTATGTCTTTATTTATTGACTGGCCTATAAAATAGTGCAAAAAACTCATCAAGATGGTTCTTTGGTTGGCTCGCGGGGTTCAATTGGCTCTTCCTTTATTGCCTACTTATGCGGAATTACTGATTTAAATCCTTTGCCTTTTTATAAATTTTGCCAAAAATGTCGTTATGTAGAGCGTTATGAGACCACTGATAGAATATATTGCTGTTATGATTATCAGGAAAAAGAAAATTGTCCCAATTGTTCCTCCTTGCTAATCATGGAGGGGCATAATTTGCCGTTCGAAACCTTTTTTGGCTGAGAAGGAGAAAAAACGCCCGACATTGACCTTAACTTTTCTGGCGAATATCAAAAGGTAGCCCACAATTATGTGCGACAACTACTAGGAGAAAAATCAGTTTATCGAATTGGCACCATTAACACTTTATCCCAGCAAACTGCCGAAATTTTTTGGAAAGAGCACCTAAAATTACGAAAAAAACTTAATCCTAACTTTATCGAAGAAAGGTGATTTAAAGAATGGGTTGATGAACAAAAATTAAAAGAATTAGAAAGAAAATCATCCCAAGTCCGTAAAGAAAAAAACCAGTTAGAAACAGAATTAAAAAAGTTAGTAAATAATTAATAAACTATTCTTATCAAAAAAAATGGCTATATCGGCAAAATGATAATCACAAAAAAAATAAAAAATTTATAGGGCTTAAAAAATTAATAATGCCATCAGTTAAAGTAAAAATAAACAATCTCACTGACCTAGAAAAGTTTGCTAAATCCCTTTTACCTTATCTTCAACCTAACACTTATTTAATTTTACAGGGTGAATTAGGGACCGGTAAAACTACCTTAACCCAATTAATAGCCAAAAATCTGGGAATTAAAGAAAAAGTAACTTCCCCCACCTTTAATATTCTCCAAAGATACAAGATAAAAAATAATTATTATTTAAACCATTTTGATTTTTTTCGTTTGAATGATACTGATAATTTAGAAATTTTCAAAGAGTTAACTACCGGCAATTTAAACGTTATTGAATGACCGGAAAAAAACCCTCAATTTTGACAAAAAGAAAAATATATACATTTAAAAATAATCAAGCAAAGTTCAGAAATAAGATTAATAACGGTTTCATTTATATAAAATATACATATCCAAAATAATTTAAAGAATAATATGAAAAAAAATAATTCATTAAAAGAAAAAACTAAAAAGGGTACTAATAAAATAAAACAAAGCACCAAAAAAGGCTACCAAAAAACTAAGCAAGGGGCCAAAAAGGGAAAAAAGCAGATTGATAAAGTTCGGCAAAGTTCTACCTGACAAAAAACTAAACGAGTTGCTAAAAAAACCACTAGTATTGTTGGTTCTCACTTAGCAACTGCTCGGACTTCTATCACTTTATCTAATGAAGAGGCAAAATTAATGGAAAAGTTAAAAAGTGAATTAAATAAAAAAAATGTTTATCCTTCCAAAAGTGAAATACTACGGGCGGGTTTATGAAGTTTAAGGAATAAGAAACCTAATGAATTAGAAGAGATAGTAAAAGATTTGTTTAAAGTAAAAAAAACCCGAGTTCTTTAAGCAGATGAAAGAAAAATTAAATTAAAATCTTTCATATGAAGTTGCGGGTGGATTGGACGAAATTAAAAAAATTTTTTCTTTGGCTAATTGGGGCTTGGTCGGTGGAACTTGCTCCACCAGTCAAATGCCGAATTCACAAAAGGAATGAAAAATCATTAGTCGGAAAAGCCTACTATTTTTGCGATTTAAAGGGTTGAAAAATCAAAAGTCCTCTTCAAGGAGTCATTAGTAAAATCTATCCTAATTACGCAATTCAAATTACTAATCAAGAAGGATTACAAGTATTAATAGATATTCAAGTTGACCGAAAAAATCCGATGCCATTGGAAAAAATACTCCAATGTGAAGTCCAAGAAGGAGAAAAAGTTAACCAAAAAACCACTCTTTTTATTGTTTATCTTGAAGAACAAGTTATTAGTGTTTCTGTTTATATTCCGTGGCAACCTGAAATTATAGGTAAAATTGGCGAATTCCAAAAAGGTGATAAAAAATGTTTTGTAAAGATTCATTATCGCAATCCTTACTCAACCAAATTAAAACTTAAAAAGCATGGTAAATACTAAGAAGACATTAAAGAAAAAACTAACTAACTCTTAATTTTTAGCAAAATGTCTATTCCTAATAATTAACTTTTCACAAATATAAACCACTGGCAGGAGCAATATTTTTATACTTATAATTTTTTTTCGCAAAATTAGTTAACTTGGCTTGTAGATCTTTAATATTCTGCTTTCCCTCATAACAATTAATTACTTCACTAATTATCGCTCTAATTTGGTAGCGCAAAAAACCTTTGGCAATAATGCTAATGATAACAATATTTTTTCTTTTTCAACTTTTTAGGGAAATAATTTCCCGTTCAGTATTTACTCTTTCTCGCTCTTGCCAACGACAGTAAGAATAATTAAAAAAATTATGTTTTCCTTGAAAAATTTGGAGAATATGATTCAGTTTTTTAACTTCAAGGGGCAAATTATACTCTCAACGATACTTTTTTTGAAAAATATTAAGTTTGCCAGCATTAATAAAATAACGATATTCTTTGCTGATAACTTGATGGATAGGATGAAAACTGTCCTTAATCTTCTTAATCTTCTTAACCAAGATATATTTACCAAGAACTTTTTTTAATAAAATGAATAACTTTTTCTCAGAAAAATCTAAATCAATCCGCAAAGTAAACTTTTGATCGCGGGCATGAACTCCTTTATCAGTTCGGCTGGCTGCTAAAATATTAATTTTTTTTGAAAAAACTTTGCTTAAAGTGGTTTCAATACACCCCTGGACGGTAAATTTATTGGGCTGGGTGGCCCAACCAGCAAAATCACTGCCATCATAGGCAATAGTAATTAAATAAGAGTAAAGTTTTTTATCACTTTTCCCCCTCACAAAAACCAAATCTTATTTATTGTAAATCCTTTTTCTGGAAATCTTTATAAGCCAAGGATAAAGTAAATGCTGCTAAGCAAATAACTACTCCCATAATGGTTAAAGTAGTTAAAAGGTAATTTTGACTTAATCAGTTAGAAAAATCTCTCCCTCATTGGAGTATTTTTTCTCCGATTCCTCCCCCATATTGAAGAGTTTGAAGAACGGCAAATCCCACCAGCATAATGAAAATGATAGACAAGCGGCCAAACCATTTCAAAATAGTATATCAGACCGAGTTTAAGGAGGCCAACGAGAACAAGAAAACTACTAAAGGAGTCAAGAAAAAAAGAGGAGTAATTAGAAAATTCCAAGCCAAGAAAAGAAAAGTCTGCAATCCAGTAAAATTACTAAAATAATTGGCCTTCCATAATAAAAAAGAAAGAGGTAAAGCAAAGAAAATTAAATGTAAGACTAGAAAAAAACTAGTTAAAAAGGCCACTTTTCGCCAAAAAATCTGTTTACGACTGGTTGGTATTTCGGTGGAAAGAAAAAACAAATCAGTGCCGTCAGTTTGGGTTTTTTCCCCTATATCATCAAACTGTCCTCAAAATATCCAGGAAATTGGACTAAAAACATAAGTTCACAATAAAATAGGTAAAAAAATTAAATTAGGGAAGACAACTGAAAAAAAATCGTTAGCGCTGCCAATTTTTGGGTTAATTCATTTAACGCAACCTTCTATCCTTCCTCCCACAGTTTCGTTCATTTCTACTTTTTGCGTGCCGAGAAATCACTTGCTTTCTCCTGTGCTAAGGATAATGATGGTAAAAAAGAAACAATGATAGCCAAGTGTAAAAACAAGACTGTTCAGGTAGTTCATTTTTTAGAAACTTTTTTTCAGAAATAATTTCAGGAGTGTCGAATATTCATAAAACATTAAATTCAAGTTTGTCCGCTTTTTTCTTTAATTTTATCGTGAAGGACCAATTTATTATACATTTCTTCAATATCAGCCGGTTTTTTGCCGGTATAAACTATTTTACCTTTATCAATTAAAGTTGCCGAGTCCACTAATTTTTGTAAATCGGATAAAATATGGCTGGAAATTAAAACGGTTCCACCTCGCTTTCGCACCTGTTCTAATTGCCTTAATAAAATGCCTCGATAAGAGGGGTCTAAGCCAGAAGTTGGCTCATCCAGCACCAAAATATCCGGGTCATGCATTACGGAAACAAAATAAAGTAAAATCTTTTTTCAACCAGTTGATAATTCTCCGCATTTTTTAAAGTGGTGATTATTTAAGTCTGATTGTCGCAAACGGGATTCTACTTTTTTTGAGGGAAGGTTCCGCAACTGTCCGGCTAAATGAATAAAGTCTTCCACTTTTAAATCTTCGGTAAATTTGGCTTGTTCAGTCATAAAACCGATTTTTTTATTAACCAACTCATTCTCCCCAACTTTTCGCCCTTCTAAGTAAATTTCACCACTATTTGGTTTCACTCCGCTCATTAAACAATTTAAAGTAGTGGTCTTGCCTGCCCCATTTGGACCAATAAATCCATGAATGCTGCCTTTTTGGACGGAAAAACTAATATTTTTTAGCACAGTTTTGCCCCGATAGGACTTTTTTAATTTTCTGATTTCAATAATGCCTTTTGCCATTAAACTATTTTTTTTCTAATCTATAACCTTATTTTATAAATCGAAAGCCTTAACTATTTTTAACTTCCTTAAAATAATTTAATAAGTTTTATGTTAATATTAAAAATACTCCTTTGAATTTTGGGAATAGCCATTATAATTTGTTCTTTTTTCTTTGGCGAAGAAGATAGTTTTTCCCCCGCTCAGGAAAGAAAGGAAAATATTTATAAAGCCACTCATTTTACTAAGTTAACTAATTTTATTCGTAATATTTATATGGTATTGTTGGCAATATTTATCTCATTGACTTTTCTTTTGCCTAAGCCTTAATTTCTTTTCTTTTTCTTTTTTCTTTAGTCTAGTCTTGCCTAAGTCCTCTAACAGTCCTAAACTAGTTTTATATCAACTAGTTCTTTATTAATATTAATAAAGAGGGTCAGAAATTACTAAAATATAATATATATAAGATCATTGAACAGTCGTAGAACAATACAAATATATATAAAAATAAAATAAAGTAAAAGATAATAAAAAAAGGGATTAATATACCACTTTACACTAATTAATCCTTCTTTCCAACTTCTTTCCAACTTTTAGGTGGGGGAACACTGGCTACTGCTCTTAAAAGTTTGTCAAAGTCCCTCTTCTTTAAATTTCTTGTCTCGTTTTTGATTTCTAGATTGATAAAAGAGTTTTCACCACATTTTGGACAGTGAATTAATTTTCTTGTCATACTTATTATATAATTTTAGGAGTTTATATATTTTAGCACTAGACTAATTAGCACTTACTTTTCTAATTATTTTTGAACTAATATATATAAAACTATTTTATATGGTAGAAAGCAATCAAAATTGTCATAAGTGTAATAGTCAATTTCTCTATGTTGAAGAAACAAAAAATATGAGTGGATTTGACTTTAAATTATCTCCTTTTTATTATAAAGCAACAAATAACACTCCCCAAGAAGTTAGGTATGATGAGAATATAAGTAAACATAAATGATTTTGTAAATATTGTATTCCTTTATTTGAAAAGGAATATCGGGGTAAGAATTGCAGTATTGAAAGGCATCAGTCTTATAAACACGATTTAAAAAATCCCCACACAGGAAAAGACATGTGAATGACTACTGGTGATTGGACTACTTTAAAATGAAAAGATACTGATAAGTGAGACGACCAAGTAAAAGCAGGATGATATGATGGTTTAGATAACAAATATAACTTCTATGAAGTATTCAGAGGCAATAACTGCCAAACATGCAATAATTCGTTAGACCAACCAAGTGATAGAATTTGTTGCCAGCAAAGTCAAGAAATTATTTCCAAGGAAAAAAGTAAACAACATAGAGAGAGAGAGAGAGAGAGAGAGAGAGAGAGAGACAAAACCTACCAATTGAACTCCTTGAATTATTGGTGGTAGCATAGTTTTATTGCTAGTTATTGGATTAATTGTTTACTTCTGATGGAGCAAAAAAAGAGAAAACACTAAAATAAGTATATAGAAAACCAGTGTTGTTAATTAACTTAAAATAAAATTAATATGGCAAAAAAATGTATCAAATGTAACATAAACAAGACATTCAAAAGATTTTCATGAGATGATACTGAACTTTGTTGACAATGCTATCAAAATCACATTACTGCTGATTATTTAGATGAAGAGTATAAAAGTACAAGTAAATCAAGTGTTAGTTCTTTATATCTTGGTAATGATTTTTATAGTGATTTAGATTTATCTGCTTTTGTTGGTTTAAAGGAATTGAAAATTTATGGTCAATTTAAAAGTTTAACAGGTTTAAGTAATACTTTGGAAAGTATTGATATTAACACTCCTCTTAGTGACAGTTTAGATTTGAGTATATTTACTCCTTTAACTAAATTAAAGAGGTTAAATATAGGAATTGAAAGAAATGGTTCATTTAGAAGTTATGCTCCTGGTTTCGGAGGTTCTCTCAAATCGTTAGAAAATTGTAAAGGTTTAGAATATTTAGATATTAGTGGTAACAATTTGATAAAGACAGGTTTAAAAAATCTCCCTTTGGAAACTATAAAGGATTTCAGGTGCGATGGCACGATTTTTAAACAAAAAATAGGAAGATTTCAAGATGACCATAGGGTTTGAAAATTGGTTCAACATCCTGAATTAGTAACAAATTCTGCACTTTTGCTTGATAGTCGAATTAAGGAATTAGAAAACAATAGTGAGGGGATAACTAATATTCAAACAAGAAATCAATGAGAGTTGAATGAAATAAGAAAAGGCAAAATATCCCATAAGGATTTTAAATTAGGTAGGGTGGCGGGGAAAGAAGAAACGAAAATAGAGGTAGAAAAACAAGAGCAAGAATTATGGGACAAGTGGGAAATAATGACAGCATGGGTAGAACAGTCACCCAAGTAATTGGCAATACTCTTAACCAATCAGTTCCCTATAATTCAAACTTTTACCTACGGCTGATAAAAGCCCTAAATCAAATGTTTCTTGGGTTTTTTTCTTTCGAGTATTAAACCTAAAAGTAAATTCATTGACATATTTAGGTAAATGTTCTTTACTTACTTGGTGATAAATACCATAAATACTTCTTTTTAGGCAAGCCCAAGCACTTTCTATCGAGTTGACAGAAACTTTCCCATTAACATATTGCTTAATTCGATGATTAACTATTTGGTGGTCAAATCATTTGTATAAATCTTTGTAAGCAAATCACTCATCCGTGTAGACATTAGAGCCATCTTTAACCTTTGCTTTGATTATTGGCTCAATAGTCTGCTGCTGAGTGTTATTAATCACTTGGGTAATTAGGTTTCCATTTCTTTCTATTATTCCTAACACAGGAACTTTATCTTTTCAACTTCTACCTTGGGAATTAGGGACTTTCTTATCTCAATGTCGGTTTTTATTTTTACCACCCATAAAGGTTTCATCAATTTCCACACTATTTTCTAACATAGTTTCAAAAATAGGACTTTGGAAAGAATATCGTAATCTTTGTAATACAAACCAAGCACTCTTTTGGGTAATGCCAGTATCTTTGGCTAATTGATAAGAAGAAATGCCCTTCTTACTAATAGCAAGTTTATATAAAGCATAAAATCAAGTTTTTAAAGGTATTTTGGAGTTTCTGAATATTGTTGTAGACTTGACATTGAAGTATTTACCTGTATTTTTACAACGATATTGATTATTATCACACTTATAGACCTTGGAAGTTGGGTCAAAAGGAGAAGTTGGCATCTTTCCTTTTCAGATAACTTTTTCCAAATAATCAATACATTTTTGTTCGTTGGGACAAGTTTTTAAAAGACCAAATAAGCTTTTGAATTAAAACATTATGCTATATAATATATTTATATATTATTTTAATGGTTAGGTTGTTAGAAATTGAGGCAAAAGGATTTGGTTTAGTGTAAAATTATATATTAATCCCTAAAAAAATATGATAGTAAATAAAAAACAGGAAGTTACTGCTCTACAAATAGCAAAGTATTTTCTTAGTTGTGACCCTAATCGTAAGTATTTTGTAACCGGAAAAATGCCAAAAATAGGTGGTATTGCTATTCCTACCATTGGTAACTTTCGTCTAAACAAATTATTACATATTTCGCAAATCCTTTATTGTGCCAAGGAAGGAGAATATTTGTTTTCTGACCCACTTATGGCTTTTGAACACGGAGGAATAGTTTATGAAGTTTATCGGCAATTTCATTTTTTAGTTAAGCAACCCAATGATAAAAATAGTCGTCTTTCTTCTTCAGTAAAAAACTTTCTGGATAAAATTTTTCATTACTTTCATAATTGTCATAATGAAGAATTAGAAGAATTTGTTCATGCTGATCCGGCTTGAAGTGAAGTTTGAAATCAAGAAAGCAATGGAATTAAAGAAATGCCTCGTAGTCAGAAATGAATTAGTTATTACCAAAAATATGCCTCCCAATGGGTAAAAAAGGTAGGATTATAAAAAGTGGCTAAAAAGAAAAAGCGCCGTCGGAAAAATAGATTTAAACCAATCTCTGAAAATCAAATTATCAGAATTAATTTAGACTATACTGATGAAGAGAATGATATCGATCTTAGAGGGAATAGATATTATTTAGTGACTAGTTTTAGAACAGAAAAAAATGACAAGTTAATTATAAAATTATTTGTTATCACTACTAGAAAAAATCCAACTACTAAAACGAAAAATAAATTTTTGCGTGATAAATGGTTTACTTTAAAATATAAGATCAAGAAATTACCCAATTGTTTGCCTAATGTTTCTTTAATCGATCAACATCTTTTGATCACTCTCCGACTAGAACCTAATAAATACCGTCATCATCTTTGTTATACTTGTCCAAATTTTTGTCTTGACTCCGAAGAATATATTCAAATTACTAACGAACACGAGGAATATTGAAAAGAACAGTTTGGCCAACCTTTCTTGAATTCCATTGAATTAGATATTTTTTAAGAAACAACTACACTTTATTTTTATTAGTAAAGTATTGTAAAACTAACAAAACTACTGACAACTCTCGCAATCACTATTTAATAAACATTCTTGATTACTTCGTTTTTGCGTAAATCCAAATTTGGCCGCATCCAAAGTAGAACTTTCAATTCGACTGGCTCCTAAAGTCCGTAAATAATAGGTAGTTTTTAAACCTTTTTCCCAAGCTGCAAAATAAATATCATTGAGTTTCTGACCCGAAATCCCCTTCATAAAAACATTATGACTAACACTCTGGTCAATTCATTTACTTCGCACGGCAGCAATTTCAATCATTCACAAAGGGTCAATTTCAAAAACTCCCCGATATTTTTCTTTTAAATGTTGAGGAATAACTGGTATATTTTGAATACTTCCTTCATAATATTTAATTTGGTCAAGGATTTCCTGATTTCATAAGCCAAGTTCTTTTAAGTCAGCCACTAGATATTTGTTAACTATTGTAAACTCTCCAGCCACATTAGATTTAACGTAAATATTACTATACATGGCCTCAATACAAGGGTAACAACCCGCAATATTAGCAATGGTAGCCGTGGGAGCAATTGCCATAGTATTAGAATTTCGCATCCCGTGTTTTTTTACTTGTTCTTTTAAGACCTCTCAATTTAGTTTACTTTGCCGATTAGTTTTTATTGGTAAACCTCGTTCTTTTTCCAATAAATTTAAAGTGTCCAGAGGGAAAATTCCGCGGTCCCATTTTGAACCCCGATAACTGGAATAAGTTCCTCTCTCGCGAGCTAACTGGCAAGAAGCAGAAATGGCAGAATAAGAAAATTTTTCGGTTAACTGGTCCGTGAATTCCAAGGCTTCTGGCGAATTATAGTTAATATTCAATTGAAAAAGAGCATCCTGAAAACCCATCATTCCCAGACCAATTGGCCGATGCTGAAAATTAGAATATTCTGCTTCTTTGGTTGGATAATAATTAAGGTCAATAACATTATCAAGCATGCGGATAGCAGTAGTAATAGTTTCTTGGAACAAATTGTCATCTAATTTTCCTTCACTAATATGGCGAGCCAAATTGATTGAGCCAAGATTACAAACTGCTGTTTCTTGAGCCGAAGTGTTAAGTGTAATTTCCGTACAAAGATTAGAGCAGTGAACTACTCCGCAATGGTCCTGAGGAGAACGAAGATTACAACTATCTTTAAAAGTAATTCAAGGATAGCCTGTTTCAAAAAGACGAGTAAGTAATTTTCGCCATAAACTAGCCGCGGAGATTTTTTGGGTCAATTTAAGATTTCCTTTTTCTGCTTCCTGTTCGTAATAAATATATCTTTCCTCAAACTTTTTTCCATAAAGGTGATGTAGATCGGGTGTTTCAGAGGGAGAAAAAAGGGTTCAACTTCCTTTTTCTTTCACTCTTTTCATAAATAAGTCAGGTATTCAAGCCGCCAGATTTAATTCGTGGGTTCTTCTTCTTTCATCGCCCACATTACGGCGTAAATCTAAAAAGTCCTCAATTTCCAAGTGTCAGACTTCTAAATAAGCCACGCTTGCACCTCGCCTCCTTCCCGAGCGGTTAATGGCTCCTGTAGTATCATTAGCCAATTTCAGGAAAGGAATTAAACCAGTGCTTTCGGTGGCAATACTTTCAATCGGCGAGCCAAGAGCCCGTAAATTGGTCCAGTCGGTTGCTACTCCTCCTGAATATTTTAATAAATTAGCCTTGTCACCTAAGGATTTAAAAATGTGGTTAAGGTCGTCCTCCACCGTCGTTAAAAAACAGGAACTTAATTGAGCCCGTACCAGTCCCGCATGAAAAAGAGTGGGGGTGCTTGGCACAAAACGTAAATCAGAAATAAGACGATAAAACTTAACCGCTTTTTCATTCTTATTCGGCTCATTTATCGCCAAGCCCATAGCAACCCGCATTCAAAAAAATTGCGGGGCTTCGTAAAGAGTTTTATCACGACGAAGCAGATAACGACCAGTCAAAGTTTCCAACCCCAGATAATTAAACAGTTTATCCCGCTCAGAGGTTAATGCTTGGCTTAATTTTTCCAAGTCAAATTCCAATAAGCGTTTATCCAAAATGTCTTTTTCTACCAATAATTTAATGTTATCAATGAATAATTGTTGATAAGTACTTTGGTTTGGCAAAGTCTCTGCGAATACTTCCCAGTAAGTTTTTTGGAGTAAGAAATGGCTGGCTAACTTATCATAAATAGGGTCTTTTTCCAACAAACTGGTAGCAGTTAATAAAACTACTTTAAATATTTCCTCAGTGGAAAGGTCAGGATTAATATTTTTCTCTATTTCTTGATAGAAAATATTTCTATCTATCTTATCTTCCGCCCCTAATACTTGGTTAATGAGATTAATTATTTCTTCTTTTTTATTAGTGGCAAGCGGGGAAGTCATTTTTATTTATAAGAAATAGAGAAAAGGAGGACAACATTTCTATTGCCCTCCTAAGAAATTTCAACTAACTTTTTTTATTTTATCAACTTTTAAAGAAAGTATTTAATGATTATTCCTCATCACTACCTTCACCTTCTTCACTGCTGTTAGTTTTAATGAAGTAAGCAATCAATCCAAGCACTAATACTATACCTACAATAATTCCAATTATTCCTCCTGTTGTTTTCCACCATGGCTTAGGGTCGCCGTTTGTATTATTACCATCATTTTTTTTGTATTCTTTTTGCTTAGATTCTAATTCTGATTTTCGTGTTTCTAATGCAGTTTTCAAATTTTCTAAGAAAGATTTAGTAGTAGTTTTTCCCCATGTTTTATTATCTTTATCAGCAAATCCTTCTAGTGCTTTTCTAATTCTAGCCTCATCGGAAGTTTCACTACCCTTAGCCTTGATAATTTTGTCTAACAACTCAATATGTGCTTTAATCTCAGTAATACTTTGTTCAATTTTATCTTTACTATCACTATATTTAGAAGTTTTACCAACCTTATCAGCTATTTCTAATAACTTCTTTTCTTTGTCTTTATCAGAATTTTTGAAGTGTGCAGCAATCTGACCTCGCTTGACAAGTGTTTCATCTTTTTGTCCTGCTTTTTCTGCTTCTTCTCGCACTTTCTTTTCACTTTCCATTTTGGCATAGTTATCGAAAGTTGCTTGGTCTTGTTCCTGACCTTCATCAACTTTTACAAAAGCTTCATCGGCGTATTTTTTTCCTCCTGGCTCGTATTTATTAACTTTACCCCAAGCAGAAGATCTTTTTGTTTTATGATCTTCTAACTTGCTTTTTAGACCACTCTTTTCGAGGCTTGTAAGGGTACCATAAGCCTTTTTACAGTCTTCGAACACTGTTTTAATATCAGTGGCTAATTTAATTCCTTTAACATCTGCCAAGATTTTATCCGCTGCCCCACTTTCATCTTTCATGGCTGTTTTGGCACTCGTCAATGCAGTTTCCAAGTCGGCTTTGGCTTTATCTAATACTCGGTCTGCTCAACCTTTATTATTATTGTCCTTCGCATGGTCGTTAACAAATTTCCAGGCAATTTTGGCAGCCTCAGTATCGCCTTTTTTGGAGTAAGCAGTTTCTAATTCTGCTTCTGGCTCATCAATTTCTCCTTTTAACTTGCCAATCAGAGTATTTAAGACTGAGTAAACGTCATCATTTTTAATATCATTATTAGTTTCTGCTTTAAATGCTTTGTAAACTTTTTTCTCATCATCTGTCAAAGTAGTGTCTTTTACTTTTTTTTCTAAATCGGCTTTATTAGTATCATTGAATGTTTTGCCGTTTGGAATAGGAGGAGTTTGAGTTGGTTTCTTTTTATTAATTCAAGTTTCATCCAATCATGTGGAACTTCTATCTCAATGTTCCCCAAGGGTTTTTTCATCACCACTACTTCCTACTTTATCTTTAATGTAATCTTTCACTCTTTTTTCTCATGCCCTTCATTCGGTTTCAGTAGTCGGAGTTTCTTTTAATATATCGGTAAGACCCTTGGCTATTCCATAACATTTATCAATTCTTTCTCTGTTAACTTTATTAGCATTGCCACTATATTTAACTACTCTTGCCTGTTCTGACCTGACAACATAATAATACATTTCCAATAATTGATCAGGACTATCATTTGTTTCGTCAAAATCATTTTCTAAGAAAGCGATATTAACCACTGCATCAATATCATCCGCATCTAGTATTTCAAAACATTTTTTAGTGATATCACTGTATTTTTTATCTTTTTTATTACTTCCAGCAACAATATTACCATCATTGTCAAGTTCGGCAACTTCTACATCTTTAGCGTTATCAATTATATTGTAATTTCTACCACCAATATTAAAATTAGCAATTGCGGCAGTAGCACCAGCAGCAGCAGTGTAGGTAAGATTATCCTCTGGTTGAAAACCACGACAATCTTTACTATCTACTTCACTTTCATCAGTAAATATTTGTCGAAAAGTTTCAATTTTTCCTCGAAGACAATTATCTGAAACATCACCACATATTCTACCATTAGCACCAGTCGCACCCTCACCAAATTCTCTTATGTTTTTTTGTTCATCATCAGCAGTGTTATCATTTGCTAGGTTCACTTGTTCTTTGCGAATAAAAATCGGAAATCCTTTGTAGGTAGGATTGTTATTGCTATCCTTTTTTATAACATCAAATACTTTTTTCAATTCACCAGTGCTTTCACTATTATCATTTGCCTCCACTAATTTAATATTATTGGCTCCGGGAACAAAGCCATTTATTAATCAATTGGAACCATTTACACCTGTCGCACCATTACGTAAAGCAATAATATAACCATTCGCATTAGCCCGCAATACATCATTAACTGTTGTAAATCCTAGTTTATTTCAAATTTTTCATTCTCTTAATCTTCGCATTCATTGGTCAACTTGTTCTTGGTAATAAGTGCCAGCAGTATAAACTTTATTTTCATTGGCATTCGCCGTGTTTGTATATTTTTCTAAAAAAGTAATGTCGCTGCTCGCATCACGAGTAATATCACCTCCACCATCGGCATCATTCTTAATATAATGTTGTTCTAAGGCTCACAACTTATCCTCTAAGGCCAAGAGAGCAGTAGCATAGTCTGAAAATTTACCATGAGCAGGGTCAGCCCCAATAGCGATGCTACCAGCCTCATTACCAGGCACCCATGTAACATTATCAATGTGAAGATTTTCTAAAATTTTATTGTTGGTAAAACTAGCGGAATTTAATACCAAATTGTCATTAGCTGCTGCTCCATCTGTTATATTCATTCATGTTTCTGGTTTTGATTGGTCAAATACCGTGTCTTCATTATAAATAAGTCCACTAAACCATGCTTGAGCCTCTGGTCTTGCTGCACCTCCTGCACCTCCTGCTGTATCTTCGGCTTTTACTGCATCTTTAAGGCTTATCAAAGAAGCAATTTTCCTAGCCTCTAATTCACTCGAACAATTAATTTCAATAGTGCCTAATCCTGCGGCTGCCACACGGCTATCTGCTGTTCGACCACCTGTCGCTCAGGCGTTTCTACTAAACCTAATATCATCAGCGGCTCCATCAGCATTATTAGCATCATTTCTGCCTGTTAAAGCATTAGCACTACCTTCTTTTTGAAGTTTGGCATTCCCACCTAATCCTGTGGATGCTTCCAAGGTAACTATAACTTTTTTTTTATCTGCGTTGTCAATATTGACACCGTTAAATCTGTATTGCAATCTTACTGTCATATATATTATTTATTTTAATTTATTTTAATTTATTTTAATTTATTTTAATTTATTTTAATTTATTTTAACTCGTGCTTTTTTTCATAGGTATAATATATTTATTATTTTATTTTTGTTCCTTTTTTTTCTTTTAATAGAAATTTAGTAATTCACTAAACTTTTTGAATTATTGTGGTTAACTTTTTCAACTTTCGCCAGAGCCTCTCCCATATAGTTTTCTTTTCTAGACCACGCGGGGGCTTTTTCGTTGAAACTTTTCTCGTTCCTTAAAGCCTGGTCCCACTGGCACCAACTGTCCCGCAATTAAATTTTCTTTACATCCCTGTAAGTAATCAACGGGCTGATATAAGGAATAGTTAACCAAACTTTTTAAAGTATTTTGGAAAGAAATTCCAGCCAAGAAAGAATCTGGATGGGAGGCTAAATCCTTCAAACTACAAATAATATTTTTGAAGGAAACGGGCTGTTTTTTATTGGCTAATAACTCCTGGTTAACTTTTTCTAATTTCTGATAATTTATTAAATCTCCCACTAAATAATCACTATCTCCGCCATTGGTTATTTCTACTTTGGAGAGCATTTGCCGAGCAAATATCTCAATATGTTTTTCATTAATATCTATTCCTTGATTATCATATACTTTTCTCACTTCTTCTTTAATGTAATCTTGACACTTATCCCGTCCCATAATTTCTAAATATTCTTCTAAATCTATTTTTCCGCCCGTTAATCTTTCTCCTTTTTTTATTAGGTCTCCTTGGTTGACCCTCACTTTTAATTTCTTGTTAATGGGATAAACTTTTTCCCCTCCTTCGGCACTTTTTTGTTTGATTATTTTTTCTTCAACGCTGGTTATCTTTCCAGTAATTTTCGCCAAAGTTGCCTTCTCGCTTTTTTCGGGCTTAACATTATCAAATATTTGCTTGACTTTTGGTAAACCTTGGGTAATGTCTTCATCGCCGGTTATTCCTCCAGTGTGGAAAGTTCGCATGGTCAACTGAGTTCCCGGCTCTCCGAGTGATTGAGCCGCAATCACTCCAACCGCCGTCCCCATTTCAATTGTCTCACCTGGTTTACTTAAATCTAAGCCATAACACTTTTGACAAATGCCATTTACTAATTGGCAAGTCAGCGGAGAAAAAACGTAAGCCGCAGCAATTTTATTGGCTTGAATAATCTCTATTTCCTTTTCTAACAAAAGAGTATTTTGAGTTAAAATAATTTTTTCTTTTTTATCAGAAATATCTTGAGCCAAATAACGGCCATAAACTCTTTTACTGAGGGGTATATCTCCCTCTGCCAAGAGCGTGCTGGCGTTAGTTCCACAGTCAGAAGAAGTAACTATTAAGTTTTGGGTAGATTCCACTAAACGCCGAGTTAAATAGCCCGCTTCGGCAGTTTTCAAAGCAATATCAATCATTCCCTTAACTGCCCCATAAACCGAAATAAAAAATTCAAAAGGTGACAATCCTTCTCACAGTGAAGAAGTAATTGGCGTTTCAATCACCTCTCCTAAGTAATTAGTAGTATTGCCACGCATGCCAAAAATTTGGGTGAGACTTTCATCACTAGCCCGCGCTCCGGAATCTCAAATATGGTAAAAAGAAGTTTGGTCACGCTTTGTTAGATTAGTTATCAACTGCTCTTTTAGATTTTCTTTACATTCTTCTCAAACGGCAATTTTTTTTTGTTTTCTTTCTTCTTCGTTGTAAAAACCTTGAGCAAAATGGTTAGCAATTTTTTCTGCTTCTTTTTTGGCTTTGGCGAGAACTTTCTCTTTGTCCGAAATAATTGCTTCTAATTCGAAAGGCGAAATACTAATTCCCGAGCGAGTAGCATAATCAAAACTAATCTTCTTTAATTGGTCGAGAAACTCCACCATTTCCGGCCGCGGAGTTATCCTTACTAATTTATTTAGAAAGGCAATAATCTCCTTTTTTTTTCAGCCTCCGAGGGGTTGATAATTCTTTCATTTTTTTTCAATTTGGTTTAGTTCAATCAGACCATTACTTCCACTATTTTCTTCATTATATTCTTTTAAGTCATTGACATAGCAAGGAAAACTAGTTGGCAAAATTTGATTAAAAATTAATTTTCCTAAAGTAGTAAAGAGGAATTGATTCTGGGCCGCGGAAAAATTACGGCCAACGAGAACAGCAGGAATAGCCACTAGGTCATGAAGACTTATTTTTCCTTTTTCATAACTTTTTCAAACATTCCCTATTTCATTGTAATAAATTACTTTTTGGTTTTTGATCTCTCTGGTTAAATAGTAAAGACCCAAAATCATGTCTTGGCTGGGAATATCTATCAGGTAGCCATTTTTTGGGTCAATAATGTGGTGAGGAGAAAGAATGCGTTCTTTAACTTCCTCGCATGACTTAGCAGTCATTGGCAAGTGAATAGCAATTTGGTCTCCATCAAAGTCAGCGTTCAAAGCAGTAGTTATTAAAGGATGGAGTTCAATTGAATTGCCGAGGGTCAAGCGAGGATAAAATCCTTGAATACTAAGGCGGTGTAAACTAGGGGCACGATTAGCCAAGACTGGATGTCCCTGGATAATTTTATTAAGCAGTGGGAAAATAACGGGGTCTTCTTGGTAAAATAATTGTTCCGCTTCCTTGACTGTGAAAGCAATTTTTTCTTTTAATATTTTTTGAATAATAAATGGCTTGTAAAGAGTTAAAGCCATTTTGACCGGTAATCCAATTTGGTACAAAAGCAATTTTGGGTTAGGCACAATTACCGAACGAGCGGAATAATCAACCCTTTTTCCTAATGAATGACGGCGTAATATCCCCTCCTTACCACTTAAACTTTGTAATAAACTTTTGACTTCATTTTGTTTATAAGTTGAGCCATATCTTACTTGGTCGTCGGCCTTTTGCAGACCTCTTTTTTCATTATGAATAATATCGCGGAAGAAAATTCCGGTATTTTTATTTAAATCGAGGTAATATTCTAACCTTTTGCATCGCAAAATTATTCGATACAAAGAATTAGTGTGTTGATTAGTCGCCAAAACATCTTCTTCTTTCAACTTGACTACTGGCCGCAAGCCACAAGGAATAACCAGCAATTTATTAGTAATCATCCATTCTAGTTTTAATCCCGATCTTTGTAAACCTCGCAAGAACTTTAATTTTTCTTGATTAACTTTTTGGGGTGCTTCTTTGAGGGCCTGCTTGACTTTGGCTAATTCCTTCTCCACATCAATTCCCATTAATAACTCTCGAAAGGCTTCCGTGCCAGTTCAGATTTTTACTCCGCAATTTTCTTCCAAGAAGTCTAAATAATCTTCCAAAAAAATGATGTCGGCAGCATCCTCCTCACCTTTATTAGGCTTTTTAGTGATTTTCTCGTTTAATTCTTCGGCTTCTTTAATAATGTTCTCATCTAATTTCTTCTCTTGAATAATTTCTTGAAGAATATCACCAATTAAGGCTCGGTCAATCCTTTTTTCTAAAATTTCACCCTTTTTTAGCGAATTAAGTAAACCATTATCAATCACGATATAGGCTCGCAGGTAAATAATATCTTCTAATTTCTTAGTAGGAATGCCCAATAATTTGCTTAAATTAGTCGCTAAGGCTTTAAAGAGCACAATATTAGTTATTGGCACCGGGAGAGAAATGTGTCCCATTCGCCACCTTTGTAAATTTTTTTCGGCGATGAAAACTTCACATCGTTCACATTTTTGTCCTTTGTTTTCTTTGCCTTTATATTTACCACAATAACATTCATAATTGAGAAAAGGACCGAATATACGGGGGTCAAAAAGTCCTCCAGGTTCAGGCTTGAGCGTGCGAATATTAATAGTTTTATGGCTGGTAATGCTACCAAATGAGAGTTGATTAATTCTTTGGGGCGAAAGCCAATTAATTTTGAGTGATTTTATTAGGGTCATAGTGAGGATTATTTTTTGGGGGATTTACGGCTAAAAGTTTCATAAAAGTCAATTTCTCGGCCTTGATAATCAAAGGCTTGAAGATCAAAACCAATCCCACGTAAATTTTGGAGTAGAAGATTAAAAGATTCGCTTTGATTACTCCGCAAATCAATTTGTCGGTCATCGAATAATAAAGAATGCTGTAATAAATTTCGTTTAGCAATGTCATCTGACTTAGCACCGGTGATTTCATTCACGTTAAAAGGTGCTCCGTGGGCTCACATTACCCATACTTCCATTTCTCCGAACCTTTGTCCACCTCCTTGGGAACGTCCTTTAACTGGTTGCTGGTAAATAAGGGAATAAGGACCAGTATTTCGGGCGTGAAATTTATCCGCCACCATGTGGTTTAACTTAATGGTATAGATATAGCCATTGTAAACATCTTGCTGAAAAGGTAAACCGGTTTGACCGTCAAATAATTTTTGGGCACCGAAATTTTTAATCTTGGCTTCTTGAATAATTTCTTTAATGTCTTGGGGAGAAGGAGAATTGAAAGGCCGACAAAGAAGTTTAGTATTAAGTTTGTGGGCAGCGGAAGCCAAGATAGTCTCTAACAACTGACCAATATTCATGCGGGTAGGGATACCCAGCGGATTAAAAATTATATCAATGGTCTTTCCTTCTTCATCAAAAGGCATGTCAGCTTCGGGCACAATTTTAGCGACCACTCCTTTATTACCAAAACGAGTAGTTAATTTATCTCCAATCTCTATTTTTCTTTTCTGTGCTACGTAAACTTCCACTAACTCTAAATCATTCTTGCTTTTAGTAAGTTTTTTTCTTTTAACTTGGTAAACTGTTCCGGCCTCCTCGGCGGGCAAGCGGAGGGAAGAATTAACGAAACGGTGGGCTTTTTCTCCCAAAATACTCATCAACAATAATTCTTCTTCCGCTTCTTTGTGCGGGCTAGGTTCAGGAGTTATTTTACCAACCAAGATATCATTACCTTTTACTTTACTACCAATTTTCACTATTCCATTTTTATCCAAGTGCGGAAATTGATTTTTCCCTGCATGAGGAAAAGAAGAAGTAAATATTTCTGGACCATACTTGGTATTATGACGAATAATGGTGTGCTTTTTGACAAAGAAAGAAGTAAGAATGTCCTCTTTTACTAGTCTTTCATTAAGGATAATCGCATCTTCATAATTATAACCATTTCAACACAAATAAGCCACTCGTAAATTATAACCTAAGGATAATTCGCCATTATTCGCATAATTTCCACAAGCCAGCATTTGTCCTTTTTCGACTTGCTCGCCTTTTTTGACTAGTGGAAGTGAAAAACTGAGAATATTTTTATTAGAAACTACTAATTGTTCCAATGAATAAGTTTTTTTTTCCTTGTTTTTTTCTTTAATAATAATTTGTTGACTGTCAACATATTCCACTATTCCTTTTTCTTCGGCCTTAACTGCTAATGGCGAATTATTTAACAGACTGGCTTCGATTCCACTCGCTACTAACGGTTCTTGATTTTTCAACAGAGTTACTGCTTGCCGTTGCATGTTGGTTGCCATCAGCATGCGAGTAGCGTCATTGTGGTGAAAAAAAGGAATGGTAGCACTAGTTACTGAATTCAAATGATAAAAAGAACTATAAATATAATCTAATTTTTGCTTGGGTATTTGGACAAAATTCTCCTGATGAATAGCCAACACTGTTTCCTCCACAATTCTATTCTTTTCATCAATTTTTAGGTTAAAATGAGTAATATATTTGTCTTTTTCTTCTTCACTGGTTAAATAAACCAAAGAAGGAATAATTACGCCATCGCGAACTGGAAAATAAGGAGTGGTTATTTGTCCATCATCATTTATCCCGGCTTCAATTGTTATCCGACGAACCAAGCCAGTATTTCGGCCTTCGGGAGTTTCTACTGGGTCATAACGACCGCTGAAGGAAGAATCTACATTACGGGCTGCTAAGGTAGCGTTAACCGAATTACGCCCTCCTAATCCCATCACACTTGATACTAATCCATCCGAGATAACTGACAACGCATTATTTTGATTTTGCAAACGAACCAGTGCCGAAGTATTGAAAAAGTGCTTAATAAGATTATCGAAATCCTTTAAATTAGGTATTTTAGAGAAGTCAATTTTTTTTAACTGGGAAAGATAATTGGTTAGGTATTTACTATCAATATCTTGTAAAAATCCCCCCAATTTGTTGTCAAAAATATTGTAAACTAAATCTCCTACCCGACGGATAACTTGATTTTCTAATTTATCCTCATCCTCTTTTTTTTCAGTATTACCTAAACCATGGCGTAGGTTAATATAACCAGCCACCGCACAAATTAAATCCGCCAAGTCAAAATAAGTCTTTTCGGCAGGTAATTTTTCTCCAATTCCAACCACTGGGATAATTTTTTCCTTATTTTGCGGAGATTTTATTTTAACAATATATAAGTCATTAGTAGAATGAGGAATAGCCACCCCATTTATTTTTTTCTTTTGTAAAGCATTCTGTAATATTTGTAAGTTTTTTTCTTCCAGGATAGCGTTTTTTTTTAAGATTACCTTGCCGTTGTTATCAAGCAAGTCTTCGGCTAATGTTTGCCCTTCTAATTGTTGAATAAGGTCTATTTTTTGATTATATTTTTTTCGCCCTAGTCTTCCGATATTAAAATAAGAATTGCCCTTGTTGCTCGTAAATAAAAATTGGGGCAAACTAGTTCGGCCAACCCCGATCTCTAAGGCTTTGGTTTCGTGATAATTCTCAATATCTAAACTTTCTCGGTCAAACAAGGTCTCAAGAAGTTCAGAGGGAACAGCAAAGGTTTTCAAAACATCCAACAAATCGAAAACTAGTCCAGAATTAAGAAACTTTAACTCAATCGCTAGTGGTTTCTTTGCACTGTAATGAACACTGATTCAGGGCCCTTTGAAAGGAATGATTTCACTAAAAAACTCATTTTCTCCTTCAGCAAAATAATAAACAGCAGGGGCTCGGACCGACTGAAAAACTACCACTTTATTATGACCGTTAATAACGAAATTTCCTTGCGAATTCATTTTTGGTAAATGGCAAAAATCTACCTTTTGGTCTTGTTCGCAATGAAACTTAACAATCAATTTATCCTCTTCCTCTTCTTTTTCTAATATTTCCAGAACTATTTTTAAATTTCCTTTGCTCTCTTTTATTTCCCACTTGTTAGAGGACTTTTCTTTACAAGTAAACTTTTTGATTTTGAAACTTTCTTCTACTCATTGATTAAGGCTTTTTTTAAGGTCATTATCCAACAATTGAATCTGTATCTTGTGGCAATCCCAAGAAACTTTCCAATCAAAAGAAACTAAATAATTCCAAGTAAGCGACTCAGCCCGTGCCGTCTCTTCCGTTATTTCCGGTTCTTGATAAGCAAGATTTTCGACATTTATCTTAATGTTATTATTATAATCACTGAACTCAGCCGGAAAATAAAAAGATAATAATTTGGGCAATCGTTCGTGAAGGAATTTTGAGTAAGATAATTTTTGTTCTCGGGCGTAATCTCGCTCTGGTAAACCTTGAAAAAGGGGTGAACGATTGACAGTTAAATATTCCCGACGTGGATTTTTCCCCGAATTAATTATTCGATATGACATTAATTAAAATTATTTAATTTCAACTTCAACTCCTTTCTCTTTTAACTTTTTTTTAACCTCTTCCGCTTTAACTCGAGCAATATTTTCTAAAATAATTTTATCTTCTTTTTCCACCAGATTTTTGGCTTGGACCAAGTTAATTGTTTCGCCTTTTTGTTCCTTGAAGATGTCCATAATTTCTCTGTAAATTCCGATCTTATTAGCACCTTCTTCTATTTTCACTATCTTTAATGAAACATCACCACCCTTTTCTTCAGAATTTTCACTTTCTTGAGTTGCTGTAGTTGTCTGGACTACAGCCGTTTCTTGGATATTATAATCTAGTTTTAACCCTTCTATTAATTCACTCACTTGTCCAAGGTTCAAACTTTTTATTTTTTCTTTTATTTCGCTGACTTCTTTACTACTTTTTATTTCTGACATATTTATATTAATTTGCTTCTTTTGCTGATTTGATTTTTTCTAAGATATTAACTAGTCTTCTAGTTTGAAAATTAAGATAATAACACAAAGTATTTATTAAGACTTCTTTGCTTGGTAATTTGGCTCATTTTTCCAGTAGAGTATCCGTTATTAATTCGTGGTCATAGATGCCGCCTTGAAATCGCTTGATATCGGCATGTTCCTTATTGAATTGTTGGAGAATATTTAATGGTTTGTATCCGTCCTCCTGACAAAAAATAAAGGCATTGGCTTGCTTTAATTTTAACGAATAGTCAGGAAGTGCTTTTTCTACTAAACTATTTTTATAGACTTTTCACTGCCCACCCACTTTTTTTAATTCTTTTTTTAATTTAAAAATTTCCCTGTTTTCCGCCTGGTGAAAGTTGTAAAAAATAACCGCCCTGGCTTGTTGAAAATTAGTTTGAATATCTCGGACAGTTAATTCTTTTTTGGTGGTGGCAGACATATATAATATTATTTTAACCTTTTTGTTTAATTATTCTTTTTTTGCCCCTTGTATTTATTTTAGTATTTTTAACCCTGGACCCATAGTGGTAGAAAGAGTTATACTTTTAAGGAAATCACCTTTTCAACCCACTGGACGTAAATCGGTTATTTTATTATATAATATTTTATAGTTTTCTTCTAATTGTTCAGAACTAAAATCACTATTGCCAATTACTGCATGAATATTACCACCTTTATCATTCTTTATTTCGGCTTCCCCTTGTTGAAATCTTTTAATTTCTTCTAGTATATTTTCGGTTAAGGAACCATTTTTTTTAGTAGGATAAATTCCTTTAGGACCCAATAATTTTTGTAATGGTTTAATTGCTTCTTCGCTGGCAAGATAGGCTAAAACTTTGGTAAATCCTCATTGCGATTTCTTTTTATTTCCCACTTTCTGACGAACTTCAGAAACCGTTAATAACTCTACTTCCTTAATTTTTTGGCAGTTTTCTTGAATATTTTCTGGCAATCCCTCTTTTATTACTGCTGCCTTTCTTTCTTTTTGGATAGAATGAGGCAAAACTAGTTTAGTTTTCAGAACCACCTTTTGATTAACTCAATGGAGGGAAAAACTGGCCTTAATATTTTTTAACCTTTCTGGATTGTTATCACGCAAAAAATTTACTGCTTCAGACAAATTATAGTGCTTATCATTAGCAATTTTTTCCTTGACTTTTCGATAACGACGGGAATGTTTCATTGTATATTAATATTATTTTACTTTTATGTCTGCCTCCGATAGGTCATTTAACTCCTCAAATAATCACTGATTAAGATCAATTAATTTACGAGAACAAATTTGAATTCTTATCAAATAATAAATCGCAAAAAGCAAGTATATAAACAAAATGATTATTAAAAATCAGTCAAAAACGCAGTTAAATTTGTCTCACCCGTCGCTATTAGACCAACCAATTTCATTAATTTTTTTAATTCCAGGATAACTACTGGTCTTAATAGAAATTCCCATGGAGAGACTTAAAAAAATAAAAATATGTAAAAAACATTTGTCCCTTTCTCTTTCTCAATAAACTTTTCGTTTTAATATTTTAATTAACCGTTCTTTATCCATGGAATTTATGTTTAACTTTTCCTTTTGGCAGTTTTTTTCTTACTCACTTTAGTTTTTACTATTTTCTTTTTTTTACTTGGTTTATTTTTTAGCAAGTTAGATTTATGAGTTGGTTTGGATTGGGTGATCTTCTTTTTATCTTTAGTTGGCATAGTTATCTTTTGGCATAATTATTCATTTATTTTAACCCCGTTAAAACTTCGCACAGTGCCAGACACAACTTTTTTGGCTCGTTCAAGGTCTTCAGTATTTAAACT